ACACAAGGTGGCACAGGGCACAGGAGGTGGCACAGGGCACAGGAGGTGACACAGGGGCAGTGGCACAAGGTGACACAGGGCACAGGAGGTGGCATGGGGGCAGTGGCACAAGGTGACACAGGGCACAGGAGGTGACACGGGGGCAGTGGCACAAGGTGACACAGGGCACAGGAGGTGACACGGGGCACAGGAGGTGACACGGGGGCAGTGACACAAGGTGACACAGGGCACAGGAGGTGGCACGGGGCACAGGAGGTGACACGGGGGCAGTGACACAAGGTGGCACAGGGCACACAAGGTGGCACAGGGCACAGGAGGTGACACAGGGGCAGTGGCACAGGGCACAGGAGGTGGCACAGGGGCAGTGACACGGAGCACTCGTTACCTCCCGCCTGTTCTCGCGCCGCTCGATCTTCCTGCGCAGCGGGACGAGCTTCCTCCTGCAGGGAACAGGGAATGTCACAGCCCTGGCAGGCAGCTCCAGGCAGCAGCTGCACATTCCAAACCTCCTGAGGTGTGGGTGCCTCAGGAGAAGGAAGATCTAAAGGATGGGGAAGGGTCTGGAGGGGCCACAGGAGGAGCAGCTCCTCCCGAGGGACAGCTCTGATCTCAGCTCTGTGTGACAGCTGGAGCTGTGGCAGGGCAGGGTCAGGGNGCTGTTGGTGGGCTCAGTGTCACCTGGGCAGGGTGGGTGGCACCATCAGTGTCACAGGGCACTGCCATGCTGCTCTGCTCCCTGCAGGTGCTGCTGGCTGGGCTGCACAGCAGCTGTGAGGAGAAGAGGCTGCAGGAGTGCTTCAGGAAGGTGCAGGAGAGCTCCTGACACTGCTCAGCCCCTTTTGTACAATAAAATTGTTGTGTTTATTTAAAGTTCTGTCGTTCTTGTCCCATGCCCACCTTCCTGAGGGGTGAGAGCTGCACCTGGGGCCGTGCCCACCTTCCTGAGGGGGTGGCAGCACAGGAATGGGCCCTGGGCTTGGTATCCAAGTGTTGGCTCGGGCACTGTGCCAGGGCACTGCAATGCTGCTCTGTTCCCTGCAGGTACAGGAGAGCACCTGAGGTGCCTGACACTGCTCAGCCCCTTTTGTACAATAAAATTCTTGTTTTTATTTAAAGTTCTGTAGTTCTTCTCCCACCTGTGAGCCCCACACCTCCCCCAGGCACAGCTGAGCTTTCAGGGAGCAGCAGAGCCCCCCAGGCCAGGGCCCTTCCTGGGCTCAGCTTTTTGGGGATGCAGAGGAGGTGGGAGATGTTCCTTTGAGCGTTGTACAAACTCACTGCAAGTGCCTGGGCTCGGGACACAAACCCCAGAAAACGCATGGAGTTATCAAAGCAGGGTCCTGTGAGGGGTGGAGGTGGGTGACAGATGCTGGAGTCACCCTCTGGTGGCACCTCTGGAGTTCAGTCAGTACAAAATGGCACCAGGAGGGCTCAGGCTGCTTTTGTCTTGGCGCTGGGCTCTGTCTCCTCCTCGTACTCGATCTCGATGTGGGGACGTTTTCTCCTGGCTGGGCCCTTCAGGGGCGTTTTCCCTTTAGATTTGGAGTGGGAGGCTTTCTCCTCTTCTTCCTCCTCTTCCTGCTCCTCTTCACTGCTTGTCTCCAGCTTGTCCATGTCCTGAGGAAGAATTGAGTGATGTCAGGGCGGGTTGTGTAACTAAACCTCCTCTTTTCCCCAAAATCACCTTGTTATGATCCCACTTGGATCTGGGCTGGGCTCCCACTGCACAATTCTCTTCCAGAGCTGATTTTGCTGCCTCTGACCCCTTCCCCAGAGGCACCCAGGTGTGGAGGTGCCCCTGCAGCTCAGCCTCAGTTGGCACCTGGTGCTTCACCCACCTCAAAGTCGCTGAGCTCGCTGTCCTCTGCCTCCACAAACTCCCTCTTATCCACGTCCTGCAAGGAACACAGGCAGGGACTGAGCACGGCAGTGCCATGGAAGAGCCACCCAAAGGTTTTTCTGAGCTGTCCTGAGTTGTTCTCAAACCAGCTCAGCACCAGGAAGCTTTACCTCATCATCATCCTCATCTTCTTCCCTCTCAGCATCCGACTCGCTCTCGCTCTCCGCATCTTGCTGCTGCAGGGCCTTGTCAAAGGCGTGGATGGGGAAGTTGTAGATGTCTCCATACTGAAAGGAAAATTGGGATTTTCCATGAGCCACAGCAGGAGGAAGATGGATTTTGGGCTGGGGGGGCACTGACAGCCTGACGGGGCAGCGTCAGACTGAGGAGTGGATCAGCCCCTTCCAGCTCTGAACCCATGCTCCTGCACAGAGCAGGAGGGGAACCCCTGCATTTTGGGGAGCCCTCGTGTTTTGGGGAGCCCTGTGCACAAGAGGGCAATGTTCATGTTTTGGGGCTCCCTGTGTTTTGGGGAGCCCTTGTGTTTTGGGGCTCTCTGTGCACAGAAACAGGACAGGAGGGGAGCCCTTGTGTTTTGGGGAGCCCTCATGTTTTGGGGCTCCCTGTGCACAGGACAGGAGGGGAGCCCTCTTGTTTTGGGGTTCCCTGTGTTTGGGATTCCCTGTGTTTGGGGCTCCCTGTGTTTGGGGCTCCCTGTATTTTGGGGTTCCCTGTGTTTGGGGCTCCCTGTGTTTGGGGCTCCCTGTGTTTGGGGCTCCCTGTGTTTTGGGGCTCCCTGTGTTTTGGGGCTCCCTGTGTGTGTTTGGGGTTCCCTGTGTTTGGGATTCCCTGTGTTTGGGATTCCCTGTGTTTTGGGGCTCCCTGTGTGT